CTCTGTGGCTACCTGTACTTTTTTCATGTTCTGGACATGTGCAAGAAAAGACAAGCGAAGAACCTTTCGTTCTATGTACCCTTACTTTGTGAATGCCATGGCAATATGGCGTTTGACGAAATGCATTTGCACTTGCTGATTGGCGCACTGGCACTTTTGCCTGAAAGCTTTTGGTCTGATCCAGAATCATCAATGGCCGTCTTCGACCAGTTCCTTTTGAAGTGTCCGACGGTGGAGGGAAAGAATCAGACACTCAAGCTTAGTTATTTTATTTATAGCAAACTTTCTAAGGTACAAATGGACGATATTCTCGGCAAACTTAAACCGCCTGAAGATGCCCCATGGTTTTACTGTCACACATATGAAGCTTTGGCCGAGAAGTTAAGAACTCAGTGCTCAATGAGCGAGCAGGAATCAGAGGTCACTCCAAACTTGTCCCTGTCTCTCTGACTCGTTAACTTCTGTTTTCCTATTATATCCCCTATACTAGTGACAACAATTAGCAGTGGGAAGAGTTTTTAAGTACGTAAGTTATAAAGAAATTAATTCAGTTTGGCATATACCATGCGAAGCATATTGTAATTTTTCTTCTCGATATTTGACGAAAGCACCTAAGTCAAAAGGTATGGAAATTTATCAGTACATTTTAAGTTTCCTGAAGAAGTTCGTTGGATCAAGATGGATAAAAATCACAGAAAACGGGAGGTTGTGGCAGATCTTGGAGAGACTTTTATAAAGCAATGGATCGAAAAAGGCTGATGATGATTTTAGGTTTCGAGATTTGACTTAATTTTTTGTTTTATTCTCGTGCGCTCTGCAGAAGGAGTCAGAGATAACTCCTCACTTCGATTAGCGCGATTTCATAGTCATGGTTTTTTCGTTCTAACAAAATCATTCGCCGCACAGCCATCTGTCCGAAATTAGCCTGAGCTGTAAGGTGAAATAACACTTCCAACATCGCTTTGCTGGAACTGTCAACATTCAGAAGGATACGTTTGATTTTCTTAGTGTTATTTCCTCTTGATGTATGATGTTTAAGCTGTATAAAATCAGAGAAACATGCACGAACCATACAAACCTCGAGAATCGTCGCTCGTACATCAAAGGATCGGCTGTAGTATAAAACAAAAAGCTGTATATAGACATCTTGGTAAAACAAGGCAGTTTCTAGTTGGCGCCTTCTGTAATCCGATCCGTTCTCTGATACCTCTTTGCGGAGAAGATGAACTGAGGTTATACTGACAGATCAAGTTTCCGAAATCCTTGGTTAAGCTTAGAAAAGAGAAAATATGCACAAATTTAGTAAATAATACTGAAATTAATGCAAAAAAAACGAAACGATGTAATCGTTGTCTGCCTACTTCTTCATCAAAAGATGGATATAGACACGACATCTTTGGTGCCTTAATCTGACGTTTCGAATTCCGGAGATGAAGTACAAAAAAGCATTATAAGAATGGCATAGAAGGTTGCTTAAAAAAACAAAATTTTTGACTTCTGTCTGAAATACCAGTTCAGACCCGTTTGATTACATTAGTTTACGCACTCGTTGCTGCACATGAGGTAGTTGTCATCGACAGTTGCCTAAGTTCCGTCGGTGTAGGTTATAGTGAGAATGGGTGGCTACCTGCATATCGGAGGAACAACGGAAAATTGGTGGTGCAACCCGGTATATATCAAAACACGGTGAAATTTATTAGGAATGGCGTTGCCGCCACCCATTTCTCCTACAGCAGGCGTTAGCAGCAGAAAACGGATCAGCAGCGATGTAAATTTTGCCGTTCATTAGACTTTTACGGTATGGGTGCATTATGAACGAAGTATTCCATATTTTGCAATTTCTGCCCCTACCGGTGATTATCATATTGTTTCAGCCAGTTCTTGATGCTCGAGTGAAGATTTGTGGCTTCGCCGAACTCTGTAATTCTTTACATCCGTCGTTTGTCTCTTAGGCCAGTCACATGGTTGCCTGTCTTTTATTGGCAGAGTTGAAAACAGAACTTCGTCCTCAATGACCGCTTCGTCTATCGGGTCCCGGAGGCAGACGCGTCAGACAGTGCTTCCAACGTTCCCGATCCTGTGCGAGAGTCTGAGCTTCGGCAAAAGACAAATGCAGTCTGCAACAGATTGCTTCCATATGTTTGCACCAGGTTAATCTTGGCCGTCCCCTGGGCCTTTTGCCGGTCGGATT